TAAGGGATGGCTACTACAGATGGCTGGTTGCCTGCCTGCTGCTGCCTTCTGTTGTCGATGTCAGCTTGCAATTGACATGCCTAGAATACAGGTTTGACTTCTCCCCAATATGCCGCATTAGGTAGCTCGAACTACCCAAGGAATTCCTTGCCTGAATAAATCAGCAGGTGAATATGGTATTGATGTTGCAATCAACATACCTGCATACGTACGACATACCATGCACGTGCACGACATGCGCATGCATCGCATGACGTGTCGTCGTCTGATACGGGCAGGATTTGAACCTGCGCCCTTGCGGATAGGAGCCTTAATCCTACGCCTTAGACCACTCGGCCACCGTACCACAAGAAATGAGCTGCTAAGGCTCATCTCATCATAGCTGCGCTTTGGACATTTCGCTCCCTTATTAGCCCTACAAACGCGGAGGGGGGTTAAGAAACTTAGGAGAATGCTTAAGAACGATTGTAGCAAGCTACATTTACCTTAGAATATCTTTAAGCTATTAAAGCTTAATCACAGTAACGGTACGGTCCCGTATTTACGAACCATACTCGTTAACTGTACGAACTCACTTTCTGGTACGCTATCACAACCTAGCGTACGGCACCAAGACTCCAGGAATGGAGATGGCGGCAGGTGGGCCGCATTTAAGCCACCCAGGTGAAGTGCTTCGGCCAGACACTTAACGTATCACTATACTAGTGTTCAGGGTTCAAGACCTTGCTGTCACCGTTCTCGACGTATGTCTTCGAATCCCGACTTCCCTTGTCTCTTCTCACGCCTAACGCTGGGTCGCCAATCGTGGACGAGACCCTCTACTTCCGCTAAAACAGCTAAGGTAAGAGACGGCTGTTACATTTTGGTATCGACGATCATTTGTTCGGTCCTCGCCTCACATTGCGCCGCAGCAGTTACTCGCCCATTGTCTGAGTCTTAGACTCGACTTTCTGGAAATGGTTCCTAAGCCTATAGCTAAGACTAAGGCTGTTTCTTTGAGCGATGCTAAGCACGTTCCTATTCCGCGACCGAAGTCTAAGACTACGGCGCAAATTCCTGCCGATGCTACAACCGCTTCGGACCCACTTCGCGTTGCGAAAATTAAAAAGCGCAAATTAAGGAAACAATCCTTCGCTTCGCTTCGTAAATACCTTTCCTCTGTCCCTGTTGATAATGAC